ACTTAATCGATGCCCCTCGACTCCACATACCTAACGCACGTTGGTAACATACTAATATACTACATTATCTGGTGGTGCCGTGACATTAATAGGAACATGGGTACTCCTCTTAGCAATACGTTCTACCAATCCCTCCATGGAATACATTCTCCTAACAAACGCTTATGCAATCTCCCTCAGATTCAGTAGTGGGGTCATTCCCTCCTTAATGCTTCAAACTCGTGGATTATGGTATCAAGATTACTCATCTTGGGAATAAGACATAGCGAGGAAATTAGCTCCCTATCTTGAGCTCTAGTGCACGATCTGGAGTATCAAAGAAGGGTGAAATTCCTAAATGTCCGAATAGCCTCCAACTTATAGATGTGGTCGACAACACACCGATAAGAAGGACTCTACTAGACACGACTCCGAGACATCCTAGGACACTTTAAAATCTTAGGCTCTGATACCAAGTTTGTCACGCCCCAAATCCGAGGAGCGAGACCGGCGCTCAATCGGGTAAACCTAACTGAGCAAGCCTGTTAGGTTTCATTCTACCCAAACTAATTTATGAATAAATAGGAAATTGACTCCATTAATCATACTTAGTAAGTATTTCATTAACAACTCCCGTTTCATTTCCATTAGCAGCTTAAATCATAATTATCAAAATATTACAAGTTTTATAAATCTTTGCCAAACATTAATATTTCTACTTTAATTCCAATACCCGACACTACCCACAACCTGTCTACAGAGCCTCTAAACACAACTGAAGACTAATGTAATATGGAAATGCCGGTAACAAGGCTCCGGCTATACCTCAAATACAAAGTACATGATAAACAGATGAAACAGGACCACAAAACGAAGTGGGGCTCACCAAGTCAGCTGAAAGGAAGATGCGGCACTAGCTGCGACCAACACTGCCTGCTATAGAAACACCTACATCCATTTAACGACGTAGCTCCCCCGGTAAAGGGACGTTAGTGCCATCAAATAGCACCAGTATGTATAACTAAACACCTTCTAGTTAGAAAGAACTTTCATACAAAAATAAGGAAATCACAAGTATAACTCAAAAGCTCTAAACGATCACAACATTATCAATATAAAAGAATCATACAATTTTCACATCATGTTTACATAGCCTTTAGTTTGGGGCATTTCACACTATTCATCATTTGTTCACAATACCACCGCTATCTTGAGCGGAGTCCGATCTCGACCCGATCGGCTAGGTTGACTCATTTGAGACATATACTTCAATCACAATCTCATTTTCCCTTTTCTGGAATTTATTCACAATACCACCGCTATCTTGAGCGGAGTCCGATCTCGGCCCGATCGGCTAGGCCGCCTTACCAAGGCGTTGTTCCCTTCTCATTAATCAATTCGTTTCACATATATCATTTCATAGGCACTTGGGGCCACAACTTATCACATCATTCTTGGAACTAGGCCGCATTTTACATCGTTCCCAATTTCAACATTAGCTTTGCCATTTAGGACAGTAGGTGCACACAAGAGCAATTTAAATTGTAAGCATAGATAAGACTTCATGTAGATGGCACAACAATGCAACTTCAATCTAAATTTAAGGTCTAAGCATTTCAATACATAATTCATATCTTTTACCCCTTTCAAGTTATCAAGATAGCACGTTGATCATGTTGAGACACATCTTTCACGCATATAAGGTTACAACACCGATGAAGCTCAATTTCTAAAAGACGGGGTTTTAGCCACACATACCTTGTTTAAGCTTTCCTTAAGTTACTACGACGTTCCGAAAATTCTAGCAATCCCAATCCACTTTGAGACATAACAAAATTGAACACAAATTAGGAAGGTATTCATGGTTTCAGCTCATTTGAGCATTTTATCAAATACTAGTTGAGCATCTTGATTTCAAATTTTTTTTACAAGATTTCCTTCATTCCCCAACCCAATCTTTACTTATTTATGTTCAACAATCTTCCCACAAACATAATTTGTAAATGCATGTATACATAATACTTTTACACCCAAGAATCATACCTTAATAATCCCATATTATACCCAAAACTCGAAATTAAAGTCTAGTGTATAGAACATTACCTCTTAGATGAAGATCGTGTGATTGGTTTCTTGATTCTTGAAGATTGATGGAAGATTGAATTGTTAGAATGTTAGGCTCCCTCCTTCTCTCTCTAAAATTCTCTTTACTCTCTCGAAAATCATTAGAATATTGCCCCAAATGAAACCCCAAAGCCCATATATTAAAATGGGGTCGGGTCATGAAAATAGGAAGATTAACCCTCCGAATGCGGGTCTGCGGTCGCATAATGGACCGCAGAATGGGTATGCTGGCTGCAGACACGTCGCAAAACCCGGTGCCCAAAACTGGGCTACATCGGTCCAGTTTGCGACCTAATTTGCAATCGCAGATCAATTACGCGGACCGCATAGTGGTTTTGCGATCGCAGATCTGACACGGGATCACATTTTTTCCAGCCTTTGGTAATTGGATCATAACTTTGTGTAGGAATGTCCAAAGGACAAACGGTTTGAAGCGTTGGAAACTAGAATCGAAGGCCTTTCATTTGATAGGTTGTTCATCACATAAGACCTTATATATATATAGATAAGCTCGTTCAAAGTGTGGACTTGTGCAAACTCTTTTAGAATTTTAGCCCATTATGAAATTTTCTAACTTGACTTAGACTTAGGTCTCCCATTAGACCCCACATTACTTTTTATAATTCTTATACACTTATTTACCAAATCCAAATGATTCCCATCATGTTAATAGCACATAAAATATTATAATTAGCCTACATGGCACCACGAAATCCTAATTTACTTAGCGAAATTTTCCGTGGCCTTATAGCAGGGATACTAGCTCACTTTCCTTTCTCGTGCAAAGAAGCTTAAGGGACTTCTCCCTACCCAAAGCTTTCCGCAACCTAGCCTCATAGCGAAATAGCTCGGACTTAAGCCTCTCAAAGGCCTGCTAAAGAAAATTCAATAAGAAAGGAAAAATATGAAACCGAAATAATCCTATACCGGCTACCAAAACTTACCATAAAGCCGAGTTGCTGAGCCTCGCCAAAGGCCGAGCCAATCTCCGATGGCTTAGTGTCCCCCGAAGCGCCCTTGGTATGAAAAGAAGGAGGCACCACGTGCTCCTCGCCCTTCGAGGTACCCTCAGCAGAAACGGGGAGTGTTCTTCCAAAAACGGAGGCCTCCGAAGCCGGATGATCGGTCGAATCACCTCTTTTGAACCGCTGAGAAGGACTCGCCCCGCAGCAAGCCTCCTCATAACCCGGAGCCCCTTTTCGTTTATCATCGACCCTCGACCCTGAGGTCGGCAGTCTCTCCTCCTCCCCTAGAGGGCACGACCTCATCTCGTAAAAATCTCCAATACCTGCGGCGGCTAAGTTAGTACGCTTAAAAGAAAAGTACCATTTTGGGGAAATAGGCCACCAAGCGCCTACCATGATGCCTTGCCTCCCATCTCCCTTTGGACAGGTCTCGCCACCTCCGCTTATCCTAGGTCGAACAAGCTGCCAGCTTACGAGACCATTCAGCCAAATCAGGGACCTCGTTCGGCAACCAAAGAGTCGCTATAAAAAATGAATCAGGAAAATGTCGTTATGGATCCCACCTTCAATCAAAGTGATAAAAATACATGTATGACACCTACGTGTGAAATTCCATTTCTCAGGTAAGGGCAAAAACTCTCCAGGAATGATATCGATCGTCCGAGCTCGAACGAACCGGCTCATCCATCCTCGGTCCTCTCCCTCTTCGCCGTTAAGGGTAGGAGGCTGGGTGGATCGACGTTGCGGAGTAATCAAACCCCGATAACGCAGCGGCCGATATAGCCTCATGAGATGACTGAGGGTAAATTCGAGCCCGGCCTTATTTGCGAAGTATCTTATCGTCTGCACTATCTTCCAAAGGGATGGGTGAGCCTGGGCAATGTAACCCTATATCTCTGACAGAACTCAAGCACGACCCGATCAGGGGGACCCGACGTAAAAGTATGCATATACATGCTCAAGAACCCCTCAACATAGGTCACCATGCTCTCCTCAGAGGAAGGTACTTGTAGTACCACACCTTCTCCCCATCAGTAGTCCTTTCTGATCATTTCGAGGTGTTCCTCCCCTGCTGATGAGATGAACCTCGACGCGTGCTCCCGTTGTCCTTGAACGTTGGGAGGCCTCCCCAACGTAAAGTCTCTCCTCGAGATAAAGCACCTCGAGGCCCGCTCACCGGGCACAGGTGGTGTACCACCGACCGGACGCGGAATAGAGGCAGAACTCCCCTCTCCTTGATGAGCGAAAGTCGATGTAGCAGTATTGGCTACGATAAAATAAACAGAGGAGGGTATAGATTTGGGCAAAGATTTTGAGTTGAGACAACAGGAGAGCTAGCACAAAGAACCAAGTTCTATGAAAGAAATGGTTACTTAGAGTAGCAGAATCTCCACTTGAGAAGCAAGTGAACGAATATATAGGGGCAAAGCAGCGGTTGCTCGCCTACTCAGAGAGCCAATTAATTCTGGCCATGTTAACATCACCTTTTTCTTGGGAAATGTACTGGCAGGACTACCCCGGGGTCCCGATCGCTCCAAGTACGGGCTCCAAAGAGCTAATGATGAAATTCAAAGCTTAACTCCGCAAGAGCAGCGAGACATAAAGAATGGAATGACTTGTAGCAGAAAAACCCTTTTGCATTGCCAAAAATATATTTACAAGGAGCGTCTTACAAGACTCATTCCCCCGGGAGTACGTACACAGAAAGAAAAAAGAAAAAGAGCAAAGCGACACGAGGTCTACTATTCATTGCCACTATCCTCTGAACCATTTCTAGGATCCTCATCTGGAGCGATCAAGAGCGCCGACTTTCTCTCCAATTCTCGGGCCTCCTCAATCTTGGCTGAAAGATCGACACCTTTGGCTCTGACCCCCTCCAAGGCTTCCCTCCTCGCCTTCGCTCTAGCATGATCGATAGGCCGAGCAAGTTTCAGCTCGTCCTCTATCGATATGTTACGGGCTATTTGGTTTGTCGTGGCTGCGTCTTTCAGATAAGTAGCAACTTTTCCTTCGGTCTCGGACTTGGGCGCAACTAGCTCAACAATTTCCTTTCAAGCATTTTGGGGGAGAGCATGGGTCGATGCCAACTCCGAGGTCGCTACCTCATTTTGCTCCCTCAACCCGAGGATCTCCACATTCAGTTGCCCGATCTACGAATCATTTTGCCCGATCTGCGAAGAGAAAGATAAGCCAGTCAGTATCAAACTATAGGAGCGAAGGGCGGATTCACGCATGACAAAATACCTGCTCAGCAGGATCAGCCTTTTCCTGAGAACTCCCTCCATGGCAGCCTGGAGCTTGCCTAACTCTTTCTCCTTTCGGGCAGAGTAAGCCTCCGACTCTCGCAGCCCGTAAGCATCTGACGCTCCTTTCACGGCACGAAATCTCCTCATGGAGCCTGGAAAGGGCATGATCATACATCTCCTTACACTGCAGCATAATAGAAGAATTAGGAGAACGAAGAGGTAATGCTCGAGACTAAAAGAGATACACGTAAAACAGATATCACCTACTGTAGGAACCTCTCCGCTACCTTGACGATACCGGAAGCGTCGAGATCGATGTTCTCGCAAACATCATCAAGAATGTTGCCAAACGCGCCTCCCCCTTTATAAGGACTCTCCGCTTTGGCGGTGTTCATAGCCTGAGCGTCCCTTAGCTCCCCTGAAGAGAACCGAAGGCCCGAACTGAAATCACCCAGCATCGATGTCCCCGATGGGCAACCCCTGCCCCCAAAAAGCTACTAGTCCAAACCCTTCAGGACCGGCAGCAACGGTCCCCCCAGCAGAAACTGCACCACATCTGGCCACGGGATCCGGAACCACATTAACACCCTCCTCAAGGGTCTTCGCCGCACGGGACCGACCTGAGTTGGCCGTTCCCGATGCAGAGGCTTCTGGTTGAGGCATCCGCGAGACCCCCGCGCCCGTCCTCGGTCTCTGCTCCAAACAGCACTCGTTCTCATCATCATCTTCGTCCCCAGTGCCGAGGCTTTCCTCGTAAGATGAAGCCGAGATCCTAATGGCGGCTCGAGGCCTGCGTGACTTAGGTTTCTTTGTCACAGGGGAATCGGAAACCTCCTTGCCTTCCTTTTCTTGCCCTTTGCAGGCTCCGAAGTCTCTGCCTCACCACCTGGAGGCGGTCTCATCAGCATATTCTCACCGAATCCTGCACGTGCACAGCAGCCATAACTTATAAGCACAAAGGGTAAAGGGAGAAACATAAGGCTAAGATATAGGTGGCAAGGGAACTTTACCGTGATAATTGGCCACCCACCGCTTCTTAGCCAGGTCTGGCCAAGACCGGACAAGATATGGGAACGAGGTATCCAACTGCCCGATCCATCTCGGCATGTCCGAGACCGCTTCGGGATACCAGGTGGCAGCTACAGAAACCAAACAGAGGTCATTTTTTCTGAAGGAAGGAAAGAAAATCACAAAACGTGTTCGAGGAAAAAATACTTACGCTGTGTGTTCCACTTCTCCGAGAAAGGCATCCTTTCGGCCAGAATGATGTTCGAGGTCTTCACCCGGACGAACCTACTCATCCACCCTCGATCCTTGTCCTCGTCAATGCTCGAGAAAAACATTTTTTGGATCGGTGGTGAAGCCTAATCAAACCTCGATAAAATCGAGGGCTGTACAACCTAATCAAATGATTGAGGGTAAAAGTCTCGCCTCCAACCCCATTGAAGAAATGGCGGAGCATCAAGACTATCCTCCAGAAAGAAGGATAGAATTGACCAAGCGTCACTTTGTATTTGTCGCATAAATTGAGGATAATCGGATCTATCTATGGGGGAGGGGATTTAGAAGGATCGACCGGACCCAAAGTGAACGGGTAAGTATATACATGAAGGAAACCAGCCTTGTAATTCGTTATGTTCTCGTCAGGGATGGGAATCTCCACCTCCATTGCCTCCCTCCATCGGCAGTGTTCCTTCACCTTCCTTACGTTGGTCACAACAGTAATGTACCGGGATACATGTTCGCATCGGCCCGGTGCAGATGAGGTTTTGTCGATGGTAAAGTCCTTCGACATGTCTAGCTCGGTGGGAGTACATTGTCCCAGGGTGGGTATCACTTTGGGTTTCCCTTTAGATGTTCGAGATGAAGAGGCAACCTCGTCTTTCCGAGGAACCGTCTTGGAGGTTCTAGCCATGATGATGATGAAATTTCTCTAAGAAAGTAAGAAGGAAGGATGAAAAAGGGGATGGGTCTGGCTTTGCGAATTTGAAGATGTTGAGAAAGTAAGAATTATCAAACCGTTGATGCTTTTATAGGAATCAAATGGGCAGCAGAAGGGATGAACTAATAGTGGTTCGTGGGCTTCTCGATAGTCGCGTTTGATGGTGACCCTTGCTCGGTTTTTCTGGGCATGGATGGAAGATTCAACACGAAGCCCATAAACTCAGATGCAATCAAGAGATACTATGTTTAAGAGCAAATAGAGTTAGGTTTTGCTATAACAGAACTATATTCAACCTGACTTCCCACGAAGGGATACGTAGGCAACCCACGTAGAGTTCGGTTTCTCTCCCTCCTTTCTTTTGTAGTAGAAAATCCAAATATCACTCTGTATGATTGCTTTAGAACTACATCAACTTGATTTCCTCAAGAAGGAATACGTAGGCAATCCTCATCGGATTCAGTCATCTTTTAAAGTTGAACTATTTTCTGGCCCGATTCCATTTGGATACGTAGGCAGTCTGAGTCAGACTCGTCCATTTCATTCTTAATCTCAGTATTTTTCATCTATTGTAATCGAACAGCATCATGACCTGATTCCATCTAGATACGTAGGTGATGCGCCCCATTTCTCGTGAAAGCGGGTGTCGACGTGTGATAACTCTTTTAAAGGACGTACTAAAAGAGAAGGGTCGCCACCTAACAATTTTTTAAGGTGCGTTAGGGCACCTATTTGTAAATAACTCTGTTTCACTAGTCTACGTCACTAAAGATCGGGTAAGTGCGCAAATTACGTTAAAGAGAAGGTTTTTGGCATTCTTCGAGCTCCACAATAGTGGTTCCCAGCCGAATTTACACTATGTGGATTATTTAATTAAGCTAAGTGATCCTTTAAGCAAAAAAAGGTGTAGAATATGAAGGCTTTACTTTAACATAACACATAAGAATGATGCTATATAAATGATCGGTACAAATCTTAAAGATTACAAGGGTACAACTGCGTTGGTCTATAATAAATGACTAAGTTCTTTTAGAAAACATATAAAGAGAAGGGGGGTCCTATGTTTTTAAGCCTAAAAGATCACCCCATGCAACATAAATAATACTTCGCAACTCCCTTAAGGTAGGGGTTGCTCATATTATTCAGTGGGCACAGACTATCATCTCCTGCTACCCGATTACTATGTAAATGTTGTTACTTAAAGGCGCTTTAATTCAATTCTAAGCTGAGTCCTTTGCATGTATTACCCGTCCCATGCGCTTGTTCTTTGAGGCCTTGGACCTACTATGTGGGTGGTTCTAGACTCTACTTAAGGTGCTCAAATTCATAAAACTAGGCGATATTCAAAAAAGATAGCACTGCACATAATAGCAATGAAAGGCTCAAGTTGTCCTCCACACATAAGCTCAAAAGCATGCGATCAGATTTTTTGTTAGGCAGTAGACAGTTTCAAAATTAAGACGTATTTAGGTTGTTAAATCCTATAGGCATGATTCCTCTGTGATTCTAATTAATATTATCCAGGTAGTACTGCAGCGTATAGGCAGGTTAAAGCACTGCAGGTCCTATACGTGATTTCTAATAGTTTACGCAATAAGGTAGTGAAGCGATTTGAGTCACCAATGTTGATTTTATAGGCATGCTTCTTAGGAAAATGACAAGGTCCTATAGGCATGGTTTCTAACGGTCAAAATTTATTTCGTATGTTTTATCCTTAGAGGCCCATCGAAACAGGCCCAAATGTGAAGAAAATTATTTTGCTTACCCAGTAACCATCAATAAATGACACAAGTAACAACCCATGCAAACTAATTACTCCATATATAGACATATACATAGGGAAAACTTAGGTATTATAGCTGATGCGGAAACATGGACTCGTTAAACTTGTTATCCCAAAGATAAAGAAGCACATGAATAGGAATAGAACAAAATTGCAAACGAGATTTTCATAGACATGGATTTAAAAGACATGGTGCATAACCGATTTAATAGAAGTTCATACATAAAAGATTTGACAGGAAGGTCTACGATAAATCATGCTTGAAACTAGTCCTACAATACAATCATATAGACACAGTTCCATGGTGGAAAAACAGGTTCAGTTATACATCTTGGATTACCCGTTAGGCATCAGACTCAAGTAAATTTAACACTACCAGGCATGGTTTCATCATGATAACAGAATTACAGTAAGCATAGAACAATTGAAATTTTTTTGTGTTCACTAAAGGTATAAAAGATAAGTCATGCTTGGTCTGAAAGTTTAAACTATATTGGCATGCAAGAATTCATATAATCATGGATTGATTCTAAGGAAAGGTAGTAGTTTGTACATGATTGCACCAAGTATGAGATATAAAGAAGGAATGGTCACAACTAATTGGTAATCAAATAGGACATTTTAGAAAGTAGGCAGACTAGTAGGCATAGTCCAAATCGATTTAAAAGTACCCACTTGGTTCAAACGTGAGAGGCTTAACGCAATCATCTCAAAAAAGCTCAAGAGGTCTAAGGTGCTACAGCGATTCAGGGAAGATGAAACTATACAAAATTCATGGTGAATATGAAAGTTAGGTAACACTTGAGAGGGTTAAAATTCATAATAGGCAAAGACTAGACTGTCACATAAAGGCTGGATGCTGCATTTTACCTTATCGACTATAAGTAGTATTAAACAACAGAGGATTGAACTAAGCATGGAACACACATTAAAGCCTACAATTGGCTAACATCACAATTAGGAATTGGTCACATTTAAAGTATTATAACAAACATGAGTTGGTCTGTTGTATGGATGCAGAACAAAGTAGGGATAAATTCAAGGAGAATAGCAGGTAAAATGCATTCGAACACACATTGGGGTAAATATGCTTGAGAGAGCCAGAGGCAGAGTTAAAATTAAGAAAGTTCAAATACCAGGAGTATGGAGCTTCAAGAATAACATCAAAATAGACAAGTTTACGAGTAAATCACATTGATTCACAAAAGTTTCAAGGATATAAACCTACAAAATAGGAATTCAAGCAAACAAGAATGAAATTTTGAGGGATAAAGGTACTTACCAGTTAATAATTAACAAGCAAGTAAACAAAAGATTAATTTCTTTAATATATCGAATGTCCGTAGCAATACAAATAGTAGAACCCAAAATCTCGGTGTATCAGAGTTCCCAGGGGTTTCGGATGAACCCCGGGCAGTGCTCACACCGAGAGAGGTCGAATAATCAAATTCCGGTGGCCTTTGCTTTCAGCCGGCCAAGAGCTCAAGTTTCAGAATAGTATAAGACGAGTGAGAGTAAGAATACAATGATTAAGCTCTATTTAAAGGGAATTAGGGGAGGGGTTTATATAGTGTTGAATCAGGCAAGTAAACAAGGAAAGAAATCGGGCAAACACAAGCAAGAAAAAGTAAAATATCACATGCTATCCGTAGAGTAATTGGAAAGGAAAGAAATCAAACTCCAATTCCTAGTTAGGGTTCGATACTAAAATATTGGCCAACTGGTATGAAAAACCAGGCATTTCTTCATGTATATGAGCGAAATATTGTCAAAATTTCCAAGGTTGAGGACTAATTTTGTCCGATATAGAGATGGTACTTGCCAAAATTGGGTAAATACCTAAGTAATACCATATACGTGTGACGAGTAGCGGAGAAACATAGATATGGTAAGCAAATTATGGTGGAATTCCATTATCAACGGGATTAGGGGTGGGAATTAAGGGAGGTGGCTGCTAGGGTTTCATAGGAGATAGAGAGGAGTTGAGTGTGTTTTGGGGCGGCTGTTTGGGAGGTAATGGGTTAGGGTTTCTGGGGCTTGGGTAATAAAAATAAGGGGGAGTCTGTGGACCGTTGATCTTTGAGATCAACGGCCAAAATTTAATGAATGGAGGGTCGGGCACAAGGTTGTGGGTCATGGTTATTGCGTTAGGGGTTATTGGGCAGAGTTTATGGGGTATTTGGTCTGAAAATTTGCTTAGGATTGGGATGGATTTTAAATACAAGAAATTAAGAAAAAATAATTTAATAAAATAGCTAGATAAAATATAAAAATACTAATTATTAAAATTAATTGTTTAAAAAAATATTTGAAGATTATAAAAATGTAGAACATTATTTTGACCCTAAATAAGATGACAAATGCAATTAATTGTAAATATAGGGTATTATTGCAAATTTATCTAATTAGCATAAAAATGCAAATTTAATCATATAAAATGAAGTAAATGTTATGAAACATACATATGGGTGTAAACAATATATTTGGATGATTAAGTCATCATAAAAATAATTTGAAAGGATAGTTAGTAAATATTTGAATAATTTAAATGCAAGAAAATTAGTTTTAAAGCCTTAAATATTAGGAAAAAATATAGAAAATACTTATATGACTCTTGTAAATTGGTGATGGTGCAAGGATGATATTTTAAAAGTATAGGATGATATTTTAAAAGTATATATGATATTTATAGAATATGAGAGCAAAATTTGGTATCAGCAACTGCCTCTCTTTACCCGGGAATTACGAAAGAGTTGTCGGGTAAAGAAAATGATGATCAATTTTTTTCGAGATGAGTGGGGGATGATGCATTTTGAAAAATAGGGGTTGAACCATGGTTCTTGAGTTGCCTACATATCCCTAATGATACGGAAATCAGGCCGTGTGTAGTTCTGTATCCAGCGGTGAACTAAACCGATGGAGTTATTGTCAGAGTGATCATGTATTTCAAAAATATATCTTTTGGATGTGATAGTGTTGTGAGTAATGGATAATTTTAGGTGGAGCTATGAATGCGAATTTGAACGTTATGGATGTATAAGGCAAGTATTTGAGCGGTTAGAGGACAAAGGGTAATCAATTACTGATCATCGGTTATGTTCGAGATGATTGAAAGATGCGAACGTTGTGAACGGAAGCCAGAGCGAGAATTGCTCCTGCTTGTAGAAAAGTTACGTCCCGAGTTACCTGCAAAACTAAAACACGATGCATGCTGAAATACAAGGTTATTGCGAAAATTTAAACATGATGCAAATTTCCTTCGGACCATGAGAGTTGTCTTTGGACGATGAGGATGATGTCCTTAGACCATGACGTCCTGGGACATGAAGTGTATGATAAGGGATTCGCAGGCCATGAAATGGTGTCCTTGTGCCATGAGGATGGTGCCTCTAGAATATGATGCCTTTGAATAATGATATGCAGCTTCGAGAGATCCTCCGACCATAGCTTGATGTCTTCCGGCTCTGAGGATGATGCCCTTAGACTATGACGCCTTCGGACAATGTGGCGATGTTTCAGCTCATGAAATGCAAAGATGTAGCGATATCGATCTTTTGATAGAGGGAATAGGTAATGCTTAGTCATATGCGAGAACGAGACAAGACAAGGCTTACTCTCATATGAGATGAGGGCAATGCTTAGCCCTATGCAAATAAAGGAGACAATGCTTAGTCTTATGCAGTGTAGCGAAGATAATGCTTAGTCTCATGCAAGGGAAGGTAATGTTTTGCCTTATGCAATAATGGAGGCAGTGCTTATCCTCATGCAACGGCTGGAGACAATTCTAAGTCTTATTCAAGGGAAGGCAGTGCTTAGCCTTACACAATAGTGGAGGTAATGCTTTTGCCTCATGTAGTGTAGCGGATACACCGCTTAGTCTCATGCAAGGGAAGGCAGTGCTTAGCCTTAAGCAATAATGGTGGCAGTGCTTAGTCTCATGCAAAGAATGGAGACAATGATTAGTCTCATGCAAAGAAAGGAAGTGCTTAGCCTTATGCAATAATGGAGGAAGTGCTTAGCCTTATGCAAAGGATGGAGACAATGCTTAGTCTCATGCAAAGAAAGGCAGTGCTTAGCCTTATGTGAAGAATGGAGACAGTGCTTAGTCTCATGCAAAGAAAGGCAGTGCTTAGCCTTATGCAATAATGGAGGCAATGCTTAGCCTCATGCAAAGGATGAGACAATGCTCTCATGCAAAGAAAGACAGTGCTTAGCCTTATGCAGCAATGGAGGCAGTGCTTAGCCTTATGCAAAGAATGAGTACGGTGCTTAGTCTCATGCAATGGTGAGGGCAATGCTTAGCCTATGCTGGAAGAGCAATGATTAATTGCGAGAGGGAAAAGTGTTTCTTAGCTTAACGCATTTGCATTTGGCGACTTCTGTTGATGTGAAGATCGTGATTTTTGGCAAGTTTTGTTCGTGTCTTTGATTCTTCGTTTCATCTTTGCTCCTTGTCTTGAGGCCTCGCTTAAGTCACCCTAGGTAATGTTTGGCTACTACAAGAAATTAAATTTCCAAAAAAAATATGCATTTACGATAAATCGTTTATATAAGAAATGCAATTTGTTCAAAATGTGTGATGATGTAAATAGTGTTTGAATTGGAAACTGTAACATGTTTTGAGACATTGCGACTTCCTCAACTTGGAATTTTGACGACCCTCCTAAAAGTTATGCCCCAGTTTATATGAGTACTTCTGGAAATACACTTCTTGGTGATCCTTGATGAGATCTGACAAACTCGTAACTTGCCCCAGTTTCTGACCAAAGGGGGATGAAGATCTTATTATGATGTGACCGAACTCACAGGGTTGCCTACGTATCCCCTCTTACATAGGAATCATGTTAAGCGTAGTTCATGTTACATCAAATAAAAAGTGCAAACATATTATTAAATATAATATCTTTTGAGTGCTTCCCAATTGATAGGTTTTGGCCATATCTCTCCATCAATCTCTGTGGGTATAAGTGCTCCTCCTGTCAGTACTCGGTGAACCATGTAATGGCCTTGCCAGTTGGGTGAGAATTTCCCCTTTGCTTCATCCTGATGTGGAAAGTTTCTTTTCAGTACCAATTTCCTAGTGTGAATTGCCTTGATCTAACCTTTTTGTTGAAAGCCCTTGCCATTCTGTTCTTGGTAAAGTTGATTGTGACATACCGCGTTCATTCTCTTGCAATCAATGAGAGCCAGTTGTTCATACCGGTTCCTTATCCATTCCGTGTCACTGAGCTCGACTTGTTGTACAATTCTTAAGGAGGGAATATCCACTTCAGCAGGAATAAGAGCTTTTGTATCGTAGACAAGTAGATAATGAGTTTCCCTAGTTGACGTATGAACTATAGTGTGATACCAGTGCAAAGCAAATGGTAGCTTCTTGTGCCATTACTTGTAGTTGTCCTCCATTTTTCTCAATATCTTCTTGATTTTTTTTGGCGGCCTCTACGACTCAATTCATTTGCAGCCTGTATGTTGTAGAATTATGATGCTTGATCTTGAATGTTTCACACATATCTTTCATCAGATCACTGTTGATATTGGTGGCGTTGTTAGTAATGATTGACTCGGGTACTCCAAATCGGCAAACAATACGATCCTGGACGAAATCTGCTATGACCTACTTAGTCACTGCCTTGTAGGAAGCAGCTTCAACTTATTTTTTGAAGTAGTCTATAGCAACCAAAATAAACATGTGTCTGTTTGAAGCAGCGAGTTCAATTAGACCGATGACATCCATGCCCCAAGAAAAGAAAGTCCAGGGTGAACTTGTTGCATTGAGTTCGTTGGGCGGCACTCGTATCATATTAGCATGTATCTGGCATTGGTAACACTTTTGAACATATGTGATGCAGTCTGTCTCCATAGTCATCAAGAAATATCCTGCTTTTAATATCTTCTTGCCCAAAACGAAACCGTTCATGTGAGGTTCGCAAGTTCCGGCATGTATTTTTTTCAAACAATCTAGACGCCTCCTTGGCATCGACACATCGCAACAGACCTAATTCAGAAGTCCTTCTATACAGAATTCATCCACTCTGAAAGAAATGGTTGGCCAATCTTCGAAGTGTGCGCTTTTGAGTGTGTGTAGCTTTCTCTGGGTATTCCCCCTTCTTAAAGTATTCCTTGATATCGTGGAACCATGGATTTTTGTCAAACTCTTCTTCAACATGAGCATACTAAGTTGGCTGCATATGAATTCCTATTGGGATAAGATCAATGATATTCTTGTATGGATGTTGTATCATGGAAGACAAGGTGGCTAATGCATCTGCGAACTCATTCTGAATCCTTGGAACATGTTTGAGTTCTATCTTTTTAAACCTCTTCATTAATTCTTGTACACAATGCAAGTATGGCAATATTTTAGTGATCTTGGCAGCCCACTCTCCTAGTACCTGATGTACCAACAGATCAGAATCTCCAATTACCAGCAACTCCGGAAAGTTGGTCATGTCGATGACCAACCTGAGTCCCAAGATGCAGGCCTTATATTCCATCATATTATTGGTGCATGGGAATCTGAGTTTTGCGGATACCGGATAATATTGACCATTTTCTAATACTAAAATAGCTCCGCTGCCCACTCCCTTGATGTTTGTTGTTCCATCGAAGAACATCCTCAAACCGTTCTATGCTTCGGTAATATATTCCCCTATAAAAGAAAATTCCTCATCGGGAAAATATGTCTTAAATGGTTCGTATTCGCCATCTACGGAATTCTCCGCCAAGTGATCAGCTAATGCTTGCCCCTTGACTGCCTTCTGAATCACATAGATGATGTCAAACTTACTTAGCAATATCTTCCACATTGTGTCGATGCCCCCTTTTTCTAAGGCAAAATCGGGTTTACGACACTTGGGAGAACAACTCGTTCCCTTTTGGTAATTGGGTTTTGGAATTGAAGAATAGCCACCTAATGATTAAAGTGCATTAGGACACTAAAACGGTTTGAGTTTGAAGAACCAGAGTTTGGGTAAGGGCTAGAAATTATCTCGAGGGGAAGGTGTTAGGCACCCCTCAAGATCCACTAGTGTGGTTCCCGGCCATGTTATTATTGTGACTTCACATAATCAAGTAAGCAATTAAGGGCTCAAATAGAAGAGGTTTGCATATAACATTGCAAATAAGTTGAAACTGTGAGGAAAGTAAAGAGAGTGGAAATTTATGAAAGATTTAAACAGTTTCTAAAGAAAGCAGATGAAAAAAAAAGGAAAAGGGAAGGGGGTCCTAGGTTTATGATTAATATGGATCACGTCAATGCAATATCCAGTAATGACTCCTCAGAAGAGGGGCTACATGAGATATTAGCGCATCGGTCATCATCTCCATATTCTACCTTTCCCATCCCGTAAAGGTTATTTAAAACGCGTGGGTTGGTCACGAATACTTGTTGCGTGCTATTACCCATCCCGTCCTATAAGTCCTAGAGGGTATTTAGGACCACTATTCCTACAAGGTAAAGACTAGGCTGAACCCTTAGGTTTAAAGGACAAAATCCTAAGCGACATACATAACAAATAGGACCGCACATAAGGGAGCATACAAAGATAAATAAAGGCTCACAGATCCCTCCACAAGTGAACACGTAATTAGCACGTCTCAAACACATTTAAGGTCTCAAAGATGGGAGTCTTAAAGAAAGGAATAGGGAAAAGCATGTTGAGTAAGTAAAAGAACCGTTAAAGCTGGTTTTTGAAAAGTAGTGGCAGTATCTTAAAGAGATGCAGGACAAGTATTCAAAACAACACGATTCCGGGCAGAGAATGGTAACCGAGTAGTTTAAAAACATAATAGAACAAGAGTCAGAAAATCAGTGAGAGTAAATAGATGCACAATTTCAAAATTTGTTTCCAGATAGAGCGGGAGTTTTAATAAAAAAAAGTGAACTTCAGAGAATCAAAACAAGAATGGGAGCGGCAGAGTTCAAATTAAAAGAGGCTGGTTAGTCTTAAACTGGAAAAACACACAATTAATCGATTCTTATTAGGCCTAAAGTTTTCCTAGGCATCGTATGTATTGCCTAATTGTCTTAAAGGGTGAACATGCATATTTGATCCTTTTTTAGTTTCAAAAGAGGTACACAAACAGTTAGCCATACTTGTATTATTAGGTTAAGCATGCTACTGAGGCGTTTAATAATTGCAACTCAGACAAGTATAAAACCCTAAACAACAGGATGTCTAATGCACATAGGAGTTCCTAAAACATGATTTCTAAATGTTAATGAGAATGCAGCAGCAGTTATTTGCCTATTACAATTATTGCTCGTTGTTAACTGATCATGGTCTCAAGATGAACATGATAACATTATTGCTCGTTGTTAACCGATCATAGTTGCAAGATGAACATGATAACAGGCTGAAAGTAAAGAACTAAAGCAGGATCTCCAGTGTATGAGATGCATGGCCTACATAGGTTATCAGTTGCGCAGATAAGTAAATAAAATCCTATAAGCATGTTTTCTACCCATTACTTAAACTAAGCATGCATAACCCTCATTTCACTATAACCCCAATCATTCGTTTACAAATTATTACAAACCAATGATAGCCGAATTACAGTGATAAAGAATAAAATTAAGAAGTTATTCTATAGGGAGCCTTCAATCAGGCCCAATCTTCCAACCTCACTCCTTTCGAGTTTCACAGCCTTGACATGGTCAGGGTGCGGAAAAGCTCCCTAGGGCCCCCATTGGGTCCCTGGCCAATACCAGCACCCAAAACACTTACCAAAATGTTGGGACAGGTGCACTGTGGGATTACCAGCCTTGTGTGTCAAAGTTCAGTGGGCACTCAGAGGCACCCAAAGCAATGCTCACACGAAGGGGGTAGAACCTATCTTCTAAGAGTAGTGTGAAATGTAGGAAGGAGAGGAAAGTTGATAAAAAAAAGAGTTTACACAGAGTTGGAGGGTTGCACACAAGGATAATGAGCAAAGGAGACAAATAGATCACATTAAACGATCACAAAATAATATAGAGACTTAATACAAACTTACTAAGGATGGGTGCACAAAATCAAAAGAGTTTAAAGAGACTTTGAAATGGTCAGATTTAGACATAAAAATAAATAATAACAGCATGTAGTCATAACAAGTAGGATTAGGAACAAGCAGTGGTCATGAGCATACGAGTATCAACATGCAAAACAGGAATCAATCACATGTTGCATAGCAGAAGCATAAGTAGAAAACAATTAGGAATAGAACACACTGAAGTAGTAATAACCATATTGGTTTGGAACATGGAATTTAATCAGAACATACCAGTAATAAGAGAATACAGCAGAATGCAAGAGCCAAGTATAAGCACAATATTAGCCTTACCTTTTCGGCTGGCTAATGATAGTCAGGAGCAGGGAACAGAGAAAAAGAGATAAGTAACACAAGAGAGAGAGCAATGTGATTGCTGTGTGTATTTGTGATATGCAAGGTCTTCGTTTTTTCATAAAGAGAATGGGGGGTACTTATGGTACTGAATACGAGTAAACGAATAAGGTAGCAGTCCCAAATTAAGGAACTGGCATCAATCATACTCAAATCAGTATATGGACTCCCCTTTGATTAAGGAATCAAAGTCAAACGGTAATAAGTAGTTATTTAAAAGGAAAGAAATCACAAAGCATGGTATGATCACATAAGGAAACAGAATAGCATAAAGTATGCAATAAAGACTAGGTACATGATACTCTAATTAGGGAAATAGGTCACGCAAATCAATCAACATATTTGTGCACACATATAGGGCAAAAATACCACTTTAATTCTGGAAAATAGTTTTCAAAATAATGAACGAGATTGAAAACCTAGGAAATCAGTATTAATCGAGGAAAGTATCCCACAAATTAAGGAAGCAATTTTGAAATCAGTACCAAACTATAATGAAAATTTGTAGAATCACAATATAAGGCAGGTATCAGAGTCTCAAAGGGGGCTTGCTAGAATAAGTATAAAACCATCATGTAAATAATTAGAGAATCCTAAGCGAAGAACACAGGCTGGAAGGGGAATGGAACGCTAGCAATAAAATTAAAGCAAAGAGCACGGAACTCAGAGAAGAACTCAGAAGAACACACAATCGAACAAATAATACAAACACAAACATATAAAGCTAGGGTTTCGTCAGACTTGAGCAAAAAATTTTTAGAAATAGTACTGAAAATCACGAATTAGTACTCATAACCAGAAAATAAAGAGATTTTAAAAAGGGATTCAGAAACCCTAGTTTCAAAAAGGGAACAAAATATTTAAAACTTGAGCAATCGTAAAGATCGAGTAGAGAGTAGTGCAAAACATAAAGGCGTGAGTTAAAAAAATCGTTAAAAAAAGATACAGAGATTCAAGTGGTTTGGGTGGAGATTAGGGTTTCATAAGAACCAGTGAGAAGAAAGAGAAACCTGGCTGTGAAACTCAGTAATAATGGTGTTCATAGCACCATTGGACCAAAACCCATCGGAGAAAGGCCGAAAACAGACCCAGGCAAAGCTTCAGTGACCATCTCGTGTGGTGGAGGCTTCTAGGGTCTCAAGGATAGAGGGAATCGGCGAGATAAGGTTTCACGGCGGCTGGTGATCGAAAGAGGTGAGGCTGGAGGTGGCCGGAGAGAGGGTGAAGGTCATCGGAGAAGAAGAACCAGAAGGTTCTAGAGAGAAGGAGGAGGGGAAGAGACGAAGTAGAGAGAGAGACCGGTCTCGAAGACTGAGGGGTCAAAGGGGGGTAGTTAGAATTTAATTAAGGAAAAAAGATCTGGGCAGTTGATCTTATTTGATCAACGGCTCAGATTAATTGGAGCTGGGCCGGTTGGATTGAGATTGGGCTGGGGCAAATTTAATTGGGTATTGGGTCAATTGGGTTAATTTAAAATCTGATGGGGTGGGTTAAAATTGGGGCTAAAATTGCAATAATAATAGGCTAGGTATTAAATAACCAATTTCTCCCTTTTATTTGGTTTAAAATAGTAAAATGATTTTAAAAACAAATTAAAAGCACTGAATTAATTAATAATGTATAAGTATTAATCTAAAAATACTGGAAATTATTTTATAATTGCAAAATGCTGTTAATCGTAATATAGCCTGTAATAGCAATTTATGCAACTTAACTTAGAAAATACCAAACAGATTTGTAAAAATATGCAAAAATCACCTTAACAATATCTTGGTGTAAATATGAGAATGAAAATAAGTTATTCACCAAAAATGATAATCTGGGAATAATTATTGGATTTTGTACTGCTAAAATAGATAATAAATTGATTTTAAAAATCTTAAAAAGTTAGGAAAACAATACCAAAACTCTTGGGCATGCTTATATGTGCATACTCATGCTATGTTTGAGAATATTTGAGCATTAAAAATACATAGGGAAAAATTAGGTATCAACACTTCGCTAACATACCTGTAGGCATAGGTTTCTGAAAGACGTATTTTAGTGGATCCATCCTTGATATGAGATATGTAGTGTACGCGCAGAAATAATGTCTCAACTTCTGGGCTATCCATGTCAAAGCACAGTAGGTGCGCTCCAACAGAGAATACCGGCCTCGTAAGGTGTGAACATCTNCCAGCACCCGCCCCACAACCATTATTCCGGACAACGACTACCACCCCATTTAGGCCTCCGGCATCAGCAACTACTGCTGCTGCTACAGCAACTGTTGCTACTGCTCAGCCAACTCAACCTCAAGAATCTAGACCACAAACACCAGCTACTGCTTCTGCTCCTCCTGCTGCCGCCCCTGCACCACTACCGCCGGCACCTCCTCAGCCACAACAACAACCAGCAATGTCGGCCCCACGGAGCCCGATTTCAGCACAGAAGCCTCAGCCAGTGGCTGCAGCTTCCCCACGTTCCACTCCAGCTACTCCACCTCCAAGATCACCTGTTGCTCCTCCTCCACCTGTTGTTTCGCCACCAAAGGCTCCTTCACCACGTTCTCCGATGGCAACACAGCCACAACGTGCCCCCACCGACGTACCTAAATCTCCTGTTATTAAAGCCACCACATCAGTGCCACAATCCCCATTCAAGACATTAGCTTCCAATGTAACAACAGAGAGAGCTCCGCTTGGTCAGTTTAGTAGTCCGTATTCTTCACCACTACCATCTCCAAACACAAAAATGGCAGATTCTACCCAAACTCTCATCAATCAATCGTCACCATCAAAAGCTCCAACACCATCTCAAAACGGTAATCCAGCCTAATTTAGTGAAAACCCCAACCTACTCTCCTCAAATTAAGCCTGCAGTTTCTCACCCTCCATCCCCACTAAACGCTTCCCCCTCCTCAACTTGAACTTGAGTCCAAGAGTCCTCCACATATTGATCAGAAAAGCGATTGCTATATTGTGGCTGCTGGGGATGTCGTGTCCGGGTAGCAATTGTAAATAGGTGATGATTCTGAGAGTTGTATTCCCGAGAAGTATGAGTGCATAGATATATCTGATGATGTTACGATTTGAGTGCCTATATCCAAAGAAAAATCGTGAGTTCTGAAAAAGAGGGGAAGGTTAGTTCATATCCCCATGGACTTTGCTCGTCTTGCTCGGCCCTTGTCTCGGTGATACTGTGTGTATCCTTGGGGTAGCGTTGCTAAACCAAACAATCTTTGATAACGGACATGCATGATTTAGTGAAAAATGTAACGTAATCATATAATTAAAAAAAGAATAGTTTTCTTTTAGATGAACCGACGACTGCGACGCGGTTCAAGACATTGCAACCTCTCTCTTCGGAATTTTAAGGGTCCTCCTCAAAATTCTGCCCCAACTTACTGGGTTGGTGATTCCAACGGCTGCGTGCGATGATTGGCTGAAGATTGACTTCGGAATTTTGAGGGTCCTCCTCAAAATTCTGCCCCAGTTTCCAATATCGGGGGAAATGAAAATTTTATCGAATTGTGACCGAACCCATAAAGTTGCCTACGTATCCCCTCTTAAACGGGAATCAGGTCAGACGTACTTCAAATTACATCATAAAGAAATCATAAATGGCTACACATAGTATCGCTTCACTGCATCTGAATTGATCGGCTTTGGCCAAACTTCTCCGTCCATTTCTGCAAGTATGAGGGCTCCTCCGGTTAGAACCCGGTGAACCATGTACGGACCTTGCAAGTTGGGAGAGAATTTCCCTTTGGCTTCATCTTGATGCGGGAATATTTTCTTCAACACCAGCTGCCCCGGTGAAAACTGTCTCGGCTTGACTCTTTTGTTGAAAGCTCTGGACATTTTGTTCTGATACAAATGACCATGGCAAACTGCATTCATTCTCTTCCCATCTATAAGAGCTAGCTGCTCGTAGCGGATTTTTACCCATTCTGCGTCGTCAAGTTCTTCTTCATGTATGATCCTCTAAGAGGGAATTTCTACTTTGGTGGGGATGACTGCTTCTGTACCATAAAACAACATATAGGGAGTTGCTCTGGTTGATGTGCGAACCGTGGTGCGGTACCCCAATAGAGCAAATGATAGCTTCTCGTGCCATTGCTTATGCTTCTCTATCATTTTCCTCAGTATCTTCTTGATGTTCTTGTTGGCGGCTTCTATGGCTCCGATCATCTGAGGCCTGCAAGCTGTGGAATTCTTGTGTTTGATCTTGAAGGTTTCACACATAGCTTTCATTAAGTCACTGTTGAGGTTGGAGCCATTATCAGTTATGATTGACTCCTGAATCCCGAACCGACAAACAATGCGGCCGTGGACGAAGTCTGCCATGACTTTCTTAGTCACTGATCTGTAAGATGCTGCCTCGACCCACTTGGTGAAGTAGTCAATTGCCACTAGGATGAATCTGTGCCCGTTGGAAGCGGTCGGCTCGATTGGTCCAATAACATCCATTCCCCAGGCGGCGAAAGGCCATGGTGAGCTGGTTGCATTAAGCTCGTTTGGAGGTACCTTTATCATGTCTGCATGTATTTGACAATGGTGGCATTTCCGGACGTACTGGATGCAATCTGTCTCCATAGTCATCCAAAAGTAACCAGCCCAGAGTATCTTCTTGGCTAAGACAAAACCATTCATATGTGGACCACAGGTCCCAGCATAGATTTCTTCTAGCAACTTGGATGCTTCCTTTGCGTCGACACACCTGAGTAGTCCCAAATCAGGAGTCCTCCTATACAGGATTCCTCCGCTGTGAAAGAAGTTGTTGGATAATCTCCGAAGTGTGCGTTTCTGAGTAGCATTTACAAGTTCCGGATATCCTCATGTTATCAAATATTCCTTGATGTCATGGAACCATGGTCTTCCGTCTGCTTCTTCCTTGACATGAACACAATAAGCTGGTTGGTCGTGAATCTTTACCGGAATAGGATCTATGAAGTCCTTATCTGGATGCTGAATCATAGACGATAGGGTGGCCAATGCGTCGGCAAACTCATTCTGAACTCTAGGGACATGCTGAAATTCTGTCTTTGTGAACCTCTTCCTCAACTCCTGTACATGATGCAGATAAGGGATTATCTTGGAGTTCTTGGTTGCCCATTCTCCTCGGACCTGATGTATGAGCAAGTCTGAATCCCCGATCACTAGTAACTCCTGAATGTTCATATCAATTGCCAGCTAGAGCCCTAAGATGCAGGCTTCGTATTCGGCCATGTTGTTGGTGCACGGAAACCTGTGTTTGGCAGATACCGGATAATGCTGGCCGGTTTCTAATACTAAGACTGCTACAATACCAACTCATTTGAAATTTGCTGCTCCGTCAAAAAACATTCTCCAACCATCATAGGACTCTGCAATATCCTCTCTTATGAAAGATACCTCTTCATCGGGAAAATACGTTTTTAGAGGCTCGTATTCTCCATCCACGGGATTCTCGGCGAGATGATATGCCAAGGCTTGTCCTTTGATTGCCTTTTGAGTTACATAGATAATGTCAAATTCACTCAGCAGGATTTGCCACTTAGCTAGCTTGCCAATGGGCGTGAGCTTCTGAAAGATATATTTTAGCGGATCCATTCTTGATATGAGGTAAGTGGTATAGGCACAAAAATAATGCCTCAACTTCTGAGCTACCTAAGTTAGAGCACAACAGGTGCATTCCAATAGAGAATACCGGGCCTCGTACGGGGTGAACTTTTTGCTGAAATAGTAGATGGCCTGCTCCTTTCTCCCCGTTTCATCATGTTGTCCCAAAACACAACCGAACGCCCCATCCAATACCGCAAGGTAGAGCAAAAGAGGTCTACCTGGTTTGGGCGGAACCAAAACTGGCGGCGTTGACAGGTATTCCTTGATTCTGTCGAAGGCTTTTTGGCAATCATCAGTCCATTTGGTAGCGGCATCCTTCTTCAACATTTTAAAGATCGGTTCACAAATGATGATGGACTGAGCTATGAATCGGCTGATATAGTTGAGTCTCCCCAGGAAACTCATCACGTCCTTCTTGTTCTTCGTCGGCGGCAACTCTTGAATGGCTTTAACCTTTGATGGGTCCAATTCTATCCCTCGGTGACTCACAATGAATCCAAGTAGTTTTCCGGCAGGAACCCTAAATGCACATTTGGCGGGATTCAGTTTCAGATTAAACCTTCTCGGTCTATTGAAGAATTTCCTCAAATATTCCATGTGGTCAGTGGCTTTCTTGGATTTGATGATGACATCGTCTACATACACCTCGATCTCTTTGTGTATCATGTCGTGGAAAATAGCAGTCATGGCCCTCATGTAGGTGGCCCCAGCATTCTTTAACCCAAACGGCATCATTTTGTAACAATACATTCCCCACGGCGTAATGAAAGTCGTTTTCTCCGCGTCATCCTCATCCATCCATATCTGATGATACCTAGCAAAACAATCAACGAATGACTACAGCTCATGCTTGGCACAGTTGTCAATTAGAATGTGTATGTTTGGTAAGGGGAAGTCGTCTTTCGGACTGGCCCGGTTGAGGTCCCGGTAGTCGACAGAAACTCTGACATTCCCATCCTTCTTTGGTACTGGCACAATGTTGGCTGACAATGTCGGATACTCTACCACCCTGAGAACCTTGGCTTTGACTTGCTTAGTGACCTCTCCCTTGATTTTCAAACTCATGTCCGGTTTGAACTTTCTAAGCTTCTCTTTTACTGGTGGGCATGTGGGATCGATTGGCAATTTGTGAGCTACAATGGATGTACTGAGACCAGTCATATCATCATACGACCAGGCGAATACGTCCTCATATTCCCTTAGAAATTTCGTGTACTTTTTCCTTTCTGATAGTGACAGATGAACACTGATACGCGTTTCTTTGACATTCTCTGTATCTCCCAAGTTGACAATCTCAGTTTCGTCCAAGTTAGACTTAGGCCTAATCTCAAAATCCTCAACCTTTTTAACGACCTCTTCTAGTATATCATCCTCTTCTAAGTCTATGTCCGTTTGTTGCGTTGTCTCGTTGCATGTCACAATCGTCGGTTCATCAAGATAAGTAATAGTAATGTTGTGTAAATAAAGGTAACGATAGAAAAAATAATAAGAGAGAGACTTATAAGAAATTGAAATGCTTTGATAAATTTCATAATTGTTTTGAACATTGGAGCTCTTATTTTTGAAATTAAAAATGCGGAAATGAAATCAGCTAGCGAAAAAGTAAAAGGTAATGCATGGTGCTTTCTTCAGCCTTGCTACCCCGAAGCTTTCCGGGCTCTGGTGGTTCTGATGGACCAATTGTTGAGGCGTGCTCCTCGGTTCACATCTTGTATGGAAGGGCCTTCCTCCCCTTCCTCCTTAAAAATGACACAGCAGTCCATGTTGTCGTCCTCCAAAAACAGATTCCTTACTGCCGCCAACGCCTCCTCTTCTTCTGACCCATATATGACATCTGCTGGCTGGAAAGTCTGCTCCAGGCGAGGTATCGGACGCTCCAGTGGGTAGTAGGGACTGCGCCATGATGGCGACCAGTGGTTGAACTCCTACCAAGTGTATTCATACACCAAACCAAAAGTGGTGCCATGTTTCTTTAGTTTAATGGGTTTGGCGATTCCCTGGAGGTTTTTGCCAAGTCCCTTGCCAGGCTCGTATCCACACCAATTCAATATACTCTCAATCTTGTTATCCCACCATTTATCCTTGTCCACGGCGTTGACTCGCTCAATGTGATGGTAAGTTTCTCCGCCTATCTTCCTTCTTCCTCCTTTTGCCGGGATGGTCTGGCGACTGTATATGGGATTGCTACCGTCGCCGTGAATAATCACCTCTTGGTAATTCCACTCAAACTTT